ATTATTATCACACTGGCCGATTCCCACCAAGGCAGGGTGGCCCGAAAAAAAAAAACTTTCACCATCATTCACTCCATCACTGTCTTGCCAGAAGGGTGCTTTACACTACAGTTTTTAAACTGCAACATTAACACCCCTCCTTCAGAGTGCAGGCACTGTACTTCCCATCTCCAGGACTCAAGTCCGGCCTGCCGGTTACTTTGCTCACACTCCAACAGCATGTCAAGTATTAAAAACCATTTGTCTCCATTCACTCCTATCAAACACGCTCACGCATGCCTGCTGGGAGTCCAAGCCCCTCGCACACAAAACCTCCTTTACCCCCTCCCTCCAACCTTTCCTAGGCCGATCCCTACCCCGCCTTCCTTCTACTACAGACTAATACACTCTTGAAGTCACTCTGTTTCGCTCCATTCTCTCTACATGTCCGAACCACCTCAACAACCCTTCCTCAGCCCTCTGGACAACAGTTTTGGTAATTCTGCACCTCCTTCTAACTTCCAAACTATGAATTCTCTGCATTATATTATATTAACACCACACATTGCCCTCAGACATGACATCTCCACTGCCTCCAGGCTTCTCCTCGCTGCAACATTCATCACCCATGCTTCACACCCATATAAGAGCGTTGGTAAATCTATACTCTCATACATTCCCCTCTTTGCCTCCAAGGACAAAGTTCTTTGTCTCCACAGACTCCTAAGTGCACCACTCACCCTTTTCCCCTCATCAATTCTATGATTCACCTCATCTTTCATAGACCCATCCGCTGACACGTCCACTCCCAAATATCTGAATACATTCACCTCCTCCATACTCTCTCCCTCCAATCTGATATCCAATCTTTCATCACCTAATCTTTTTGTTATAGGCCAATATCCAACTTACACCCTCTCTCAGAAATCTTCGAAAAATTAATTCATAAACGAATCTACTCCTACCTCATCTCCCAAAACATACTCAACCCCTGCCAATTTGGATTCAGGCCTAGTAAAAATACTAATGATGCTATTATACACATGCTAGAACATATATACACTGCAATAGAGAAAAAAGAAGTCCCACTGGGGATCTCCATCGACTTACGTAAAGCTTTTGATACAGTTGACCATGACTTGCTCCACATAAAATTGTTACACTATGGTATAAGAGGGCACTCCCTCAACTACCTCAAGTCATACCTCAGCAACAGAAGCCAAAATGTGTACACAAATGGGACAAACTCTTCTGCACAGCCAATTACAGTTGGTGTCCCACAGGGAAGTTTCCTTGGCCCTCTTCTCTTTCTCCTATACATAAATGACCTACCAAATGCTTCGCAGTTATTCAAACCCACACTATTTGCAGATGACACTACATACGTCTTCTCTCACCCGAGCCCAGTCATGCTAGCCAATACTGTAAATACCGAATTACAGAAAATATCTACCTGGATGAGGACTAACAAACTTACACTAAACATTGACAAAACCTACTTCATTCAGTTTGGTAACAGAGCTACAGATGTCCCTCTTAACATAATGATAAACGGATCACCTATCACAAAGCTAACAGAGGGTAAATTCTTAGGAATCCACCTTGATAATAGACTCAAATTTCATACACATATACAACAAATTTCTAAGAAAATTTCCAAGACAGTAGGCATACTATTGAAGATACGGTACTATGTTCCACAGTCAGCCCTCCTGGCCCTATATCTCACTCTTATTTACCCCTATCTCACCTATGGAATTTGTGCATGGGGCTCAACAACACTTAACCATCTCAGACCACTAATTACCCAACAAAAGGCTGCAGTCAGAATGATAACAAATTCCCACTACAGGCAGCACACTCCACCAATATTCAAAACACTAAACCTACTCACCATACAAAACATCCATACTTATTACTGCACCTATTACATACATAGAACACTTAACTCTGATATTAACCCTCCCCTCAAACATCTCCTTGCCAACCTCAACAGGACACATGACCATAACACAAGGCACAGATCACTCTTTGATGTTCCTCGTGTCCATCTCACGCTATGCAAAAACTCAATGCACATAAAAGGCCCTAAAATCTGGAATTCATTACCTGTAAATATAAAAGAAACACTACCTGTTTATAAATTCAAGTCTCTTCTCAAAGATCACTTATTCACCCAAAACCAAATAAATACTGAATAACTGAACCTTATAAATTGTTTATCTTAAATGTTTCTCACAATTATATCACATAAATGTTAAACCTAAGACCCAATCTAACTTTGCTATCCTTTAAATACACTACCTAACAGAATACTCCATTCTACTGAATGTACAGCACTGCATGCAACCATATGACCTGTCTTTGTAATACTCATTTGTGCTTTATTGTTATCTGTTTACAATAATGTTTTATCACTGATTACATCATTGCTTAGTTAATCTTAAGTTAATTTTAAGCCTGCCCATAATACTATGCATACAAGTGGCTTTGGCATGCTTCTCTTACCTGTATTTTTTTGTACCTCTGTATGTATGTTCAAATTATAAAATAAATAAATAAATAAATTCCATTCCAGACAGCCAAAAGTATTAAAAAAATAATTTTTTTTCATTAAATATACATTTCCCTACAAAGAAAACAATGAGACATGCACAATAACTATATAAATAAATGTTAACCCTTTCAAGGTCGACAGGCCCTCTCAGAGACTTGTTCTCAGGGTTGGCCAAATTTAAAAAAAAAAAAAAAAAAAATCTTATGAAAAAATAGAGAATCTTTTCCCGATCATAATGACACCAAAAATATGAAATTTGATGGAAAACTTACAGAATTATGCTCTCGCGAAGTTAGCAGTCTCGACGATGTTTACGCATTGGCGATTTTGCCCACTTTGAGCCCTATTTTTGGCCAATTCAGTGTACTTGTTGACAATAATCATAACTATTTCGCTAGAACTCCATTTTTTCTATCGATTGAGTACAAGAAACCACCCATTTACCGATTTCAACTATCCAATACAGTGGTCAGAATTTAGCAATTTTGCCAATTTCACACAAATTTCAAAAGATGCCAATTTCTGAATAGGATCCAGAATAAACAAGAAAGACATTCTTGGCACTAAAATAACATTTCCTCTGTTCATTAGTCACGTTCCCATGCCCCTCTTACATTCTTTTGCTTTCCACTTTGAATTTTTATTCTCACAAAAAAATAGAAGATTTACTGTTATGTAGACTACTGCATTGGTGTAGAAATGGTATAAATAATATCAGCACACTTGTGAAAGAATATTAGACTCACCAGTTGATGTGTATTGGATGCATAGCATGATTTGTTTACTTAAGAACTTTGGTAAAAATCGAACATTTCTGCTACTTTGAGCTCAATTTCAGTCAAAATCATCTCAATTTCTGTAATATGTCTTCCATTCTATAAAATGAAACCAGGAAAACTAGAATACAACAATAAATACCATACGAAAATGCAGTACAATGTCGCTGTTTTAATCCAAAAACACGGTCAATTTTTTTTTTTTTTTCTCAATACGCACTGTGTGCTGCAGGATTTTTTTTTTTATTCCATGCACACTGACCACATAGACCCATTCTTTCATATGTAGGCCTACCAGCTTTCTCTCACTAGATTTGAGGGCGCTAGAATTTAGGCGTACTAGTACGTCAAAAACCCTGGCTAGTAAGCCGTACTAGTATGGCCGAAACCCTGAAAGGGTTAAAATGACACTTACCTTTATTGAAGAGTATTGATAAGTGATGAGACACTGTTTTTCTTGAACACTCTGGGATTTTCAGAGTGATACATGAGTAAAGGCTTCACTTTTCAATCCCCACTAGCATTACAACAAAATAAGAAAGTTAGCCTGTCTTTCATAGGCTTGTGTCCTGGGAGTGCTTTTCCTCCTGAGTAATGTAGGTCCTGTTTGGCATTTTCTTCCAGAACAGGCCTGTTTCATCACAATTAAACACTTGTTGGGGTTGGAATTTTTCAGCTTTGCCACGCCTTATCACACTGTGTATGCCACTATGATTCTTAAATCTCTCAAACAAACCTTTGCCGGTCTTAAATTCACCAATATGAGCACTAGTTCCAGGCATTTTTTCCTGTTCACCTGGGTGTTAGTTGACTGGTGTGGGTTGCATCCTGGGGGACAAGATTAAGGACCCCAATGAAAATAAGTTAGAGAGTTCTTGATGACTCATTGACTTTCTTGGGTTATCCTGGGTGGCTAACCCTCTGGGGTTAATTGTTTCTTGGTAATTGTTTCTCGTTAAGTCACACCAACAACAGTCTCTCCACATCTTCAAGTAGTACAGCTGATGGTGGTGCAGCAATAGCTGACGGTGGTGCAGCAGCAGCTGACCATGGTACAATAGTATTTCGATAGTATTTCTCACCCTTTTATACCACAGGGTTGGCACTAGAAGCTTTCTTTGGGCCCATAGTGGCTTATTTAGCAGTTACAAGCACTATAAACAATGGAATAATACAAAATGTATCAAATGTATGCATGAAACTGGCCACCCTGGCTTGTAAACAATGACGGCAGGGCAGCTGAGGTGCTCAGGCTGGACGGACAGGTTCGGGACAAATCACATTGGGTGAGTTTTTTATCGTTAGCCAGGCCAAAATTTTTATGCTCAAACACTTCGTTGGGTGGATTTAACGTTATGTGATGCGTTCGTTAGCCGAGGGTCTACTGTAATTAGTAGGTCATAGGTGTATTGTTAAATTATTAATAAGTGATCGCTGTTGTCCACAAAATCGATATTCTGGCAAGGTTTTGGAACCAGGGATACCAGAGAATTGGAGATGTACATGTAAAAAGTGAGACAAATATTAAGTGAAATTGAGGTAATTTTGAGAGGTTATTTGTATGTGGTACAGTGAAACCCATTACAATGTAGTTTTCATACCCCAAAACATTGTATTCTTGTCAACATACAGGTATTCTAGGAAAAGTTACTAACAAATCAACCAAAAATGTTAAATTTCTCTTGCAGCATTGGCAGATATTCCAGAGCTGTTGGGCCATCTCAGACGGAATTACCAATATTGGAAGGAACAGGAAGAAATTAATGCAAATCCAACCCTTCAGAGTCAGCCTCTCAGCAAGGCCGAGGAAGAGGATGAGGCTAAAGAACAAGAGAGTGCTGTTACATCAGAAAATATTAACCCAGATGAAAAAGCAAGCTAGTAATGTGTAGCATGTAGAATATCTCTTTGAATGAATACAAATACTTTTCATAATGTTAGTGTATGAAGGGAGTAACTTTAAGTAATTCCCTCAGGGGTTTGACCTATTGTATCCAGACTTGTGGATGTGTTCTGCTTCAGTTATCTTGTAATTACTGTGTACACATTTTAAATCTAGTGAGAGTTACCTCCATCTACTCCAAATTATAACTTTTTACTCATGCTTTGTTCTCATCTAATATAGTGATGTAAAATTGTAACTAAAATGTTAATTTAGGACAACTACAAATTAATAGGCATGAAAATAATGATACAGTACTCTGGGTTAGTAGAGAAAGTTAGTCTGATTCATGTTTGGAGGTGTCTCACACTCCAGGTTATTACTAATATTACAGTTGACTCCTGCTTAACAGATATTCACTCAAAGACCATAAATAAGTCTCTGACATTCCCTACTTAACACTCATTTTCCATTTGTACCTTTCATATCAAATAAGACTAATGGATTTTTTTTATCCTCTTTTACATCAACTGCAGTTTATTTTTATATACAGCCTCTCCTCACTTAACAACAGAGTTCCTTTCTTAAGACCACATTGGTAAACTAATTTGTCGCTAAGCAAGGAGCATACTATAATGGTAGTGGGTTTATGTCAACAATCTTTGATATTGTTTTAATGTCACCTTTGCACCATTTCTAACATTTTTGGTATACAGTATTTTTAAATGTTTATACAGTAGTGTACTGTATATTGTAATAAACAGTAAAGGAAATCAGCTCTCGTATACATTATTTATGTATACATACTGGTTGGAGAGCCCGTTGTAAGTCCGAGTCGTCAGTAAAGGAGTACTTCACTAAGTGAGGAGAGGCTGTATGTCCATTTAGTATAGTTGTATTCTCGTATATTTTTTTTTTTTTTGGTAAAAAAAGTAAAGAAATGCTTGTTTTTACAGTTCTGTTTATAAGGTGTAGTATGTTGGAAACTGGGTGTATAAGGAAGGGTGGAGGAGGTAGGAGAGGTAGCAGTTGCTACTCACAGGATCATAATAGGTTATCATGTGTGCTAGACCCAGGCATGATATGGATGCTGATGACAGTTTTTTCAGACAATATTGTGCTAACCTGGCATAATTATGACAATGCTCTCATGACGCCAAATGACTTCGAACAGGCGATAAATGACATGCCCATGCACTCTGCCCCAGGGCCAGACTCATGGAACTCTGTGTTCATCAAGAACTGCAAGAAGCCCCTATCACGAGCCTTTTCCATCCTATGGAGAGGGAGCATGGACACGGGGGTCGTCCCACAGTTACTAAAAACAACAGACATAGCCCCACTCCACAAAGGGGGCAGTAAAGCAACAGCAAAGAACTACAGACCAATAGCACTAACATCCCATATCATAAAAATCTTTGAAAGGGTCCTAAGAAGCAAGATCACCACGCATCTAGAAACCCATCAGTTACACAACCCAGGGCAATATGGGTTTAGAACAGATCGCTCCTGTCTGTCTCAACTATTGGACCACTACGACAAGGTCCTAAATGCACTAGAAGACAAAAAGAATGCAGATGTAATATATACAGACTTTGCAAAAGCCTTCGACAAGTGTGACCATGGCGTAATAGCGCACAAAATGCGTGCTAAAGGAATAACAGGAAAAGTCGGTCGATGGATCTATAATTTCCTCACTAACAGAACACAGAGAGTAGTCGTCAACAGAGTAAAGTCCGAGGCAGCTACGGTGAAAAGCTCTGTTCCACAAGGCACAGTACTCGCTCCCATCTTGTTCCTCATCCTTATATCCGACATAGACAAGGATGTCAGCCACAGCACCGTGTCTTCCTTTGCAGATGACACCCGAATCTGCATGACAGTGTCTTCCATTGCAGACACTGCAAAGCTCCAGGGAGACATCAACCAAATCTTTCAGTGGGCTGCAGAAAACAATATGAAGTTCAACGATGAGAAATTTCAATTACTCAGATATGGTAAACATGAGGAAATTAAATCTTCATCAGAGTACAAAACAAATTCTGGCCACAAAATAGAGCGAAACACCAACGTCAAAGACCTGGGAGTGATCATGTCGGAGGATCTCACCTTCAAGGACCATAACATTGTATCAATCGCATCTCCTAGAAAAATGACAGGATGGATAATGAGAACCTTCAAAACTAGGGAGGCCAAGCCCATGATGACACTCTTCAGGTCACTTGTTCTATCTAGGCTGGAATATTGCTGCACATTAACAGCACCTTTCAAGGCAGGTGAAATTGCCGACCTAGAAAATGTACAGAGAACTTTCACGGCGCGCATAACGGAGATAAAACACCTCAATTATTGGGAGCGCTTGAGGTTCCTAAACCTGTATTCCCTGGAACGCAGGAGGGAGAGATACATGATTATATACACCTGGAAAATCCTAGAGGGACTAGTACCGAACTTGCACACGAAAATCACCCACTACGAAAGCAAAAGACTTGGCAGACGATGCACCATCCCCCCAATGAAAAGCAGGGGTGTCACTAGCACGTTAAGAGACCATACAATAAGTGTCAGGGGCCCGAGACTGTTCAACTGCCTCCCAGCACACATAAGGGGGATTACCAACAGACCCCTGGCAGTCTTCAAGCTGGCACTGGACAAGCACCTAAAGTCAGTTCCGGATCAGCCGGGCTGTGGCTCGTATGTTGGTTTGCGTGCAGCCAGCAGCAACAGCCTGGTTGATCATACTCTGATCCACCAGGAGGCCTGGTCTCAGACCGGGCCGCGGGGGCGTTGACCCCCGGAACTCTCTCCAGGTAAACTCCAGGTAAAACACACTGGTAGATATCCTGGTCTATGAGGGAGAGAATGGATGGTTAGAGAGGGAGAACAGGATGTAGGGAGAGAGAGGAGAGGGTTATAGAGAAGAAGAGGGGGAAGGAAGGGTAAAGAGTGGAAAAGGGAAAATAAATGAAGGGGAGAGGTAGAGAGAAGATTGGCATTGTAAGGAGGGAGGAGAGGACAAGACGTTTGTATTCACAGGTTAATAATGCATGTACTTCAAGCTAGACAAAGTTTAAAGTTTATTTTCGTTTTTTATCATTCTATTTTTTTTCATTTTGGTGCATATATGGCAGGCTCATGTGTTTTTATAAACATAATTAGAAATATTATAGGTAGTAGGTTGGTAGACAGCAACCGCCCAGGGAGGTACTACCGTCCTGCCAAGTGAGTGTAAAACGAAAGCCTGTAATTGTTTTACATGATGGTAGGATTGCTGGTGTCCTTTTTTCTGTCTCATGAACATGCAAGATTTCAGGTACGTCTTGCTACTTCTACTTACACTTAGGTCACACTACACATACATGTACAAGCACATATATACACACCCCTCTGGGTTTTCTTCTATTTTCTTTCTGGTTCTTATTCTTGTTTATTTCCTCTTATCTCCATGGGGAAGTGGAACAGAATTCTTCCTCCGTAAGCCATGCGTGTTGTAAGAGGCGACTAAAATGCCGGGAGCAAGGGGCTAGTAACCTCTTCTCCTGTATATATTACTAAATGTAAAAGGAGAAACTTTCGTTTTTCCTTTTGGGCCACCCCGCCTTGGTGGGATACAGCCGGTGTGTTGAAAGAAGAAAGAAGAATTAGAAATATAGATTTTTTCCTTCTCAATACTGCATTCCTTAACACTGGCCCTTTTAAACTCTTGCTGGTTGGAATGAAATGTACACTGCACTGTACATGTAATACCTTGTCTTCTCTTCATGAAGGATTTCATGTCTGATTAATGCATAGTTTTGAAGTTCATTGCTAAAGCATAAGCAGGGATAGGATACAGAAAATTGTCTCAGTCTGCATCTCTGGTGCAGACTGAGAGGGTGCATAGGAAGATGGGACTTGATGAAAAGTGTCTTGGTCCACATCTCTGGTTACATCATGGGGAGTATACTAGATAAATGGGATTTACTAATTGCAGTTTCTTCAGTCCCTATGTAGGCTGTTAAGCAAGAGTCAACTTTATATTCGTGGGGAAGTTTTAAACCCATAAGGGTCATACCACTTGGGGAATTGGAGGAGGTGATGGATTATCCCTTCACTAGCTTTGAGGCTAGTACAGGGATGCACTACAGATACATCCCTCAGTTATCCCTGCATTAAAATTTAAATTTTTCATTTTAAAACTAATTGCATTTACTAGCATATATCACAGTAAAGACACATCCCATACCTAGCAAGTGTTGATCATAGCCTAGGTGTGGTTTCATAGCCTGGGTGTGGTGATCATAGCCTGGGTGTGGTGATCATAGCTTGGGTGTGGTGATCATAGCCTGGGTGTAGCAATCATAGCCTGGGTGTAGTGATCATAGACTGGGTAAAGTTGTTATGATTAACAGTGTTGTTTTTGAACTCGAAGAATGCTGTGTTAGTGATTCTGAATCTTGCTTCATGATGCTAGTTATGGGCCACTGTTAATGATGTTGGTTCTGGGCCAGTGTTAATGATGCTGGTTCTGGGCCAGTGTTAATGATGCTGGTTCTGGGCCAGTATTAATGATGCTGGTCCTGGGCCATTGTTATTGATGCTGGTTCTGGGCCAGTGTTAATGATGCTGGTCCTGAGCCAGTGTTAATGATGCTGGTTCTGGACCAGTGTTAATGATGCTGGTTCTGGGCCAGAGTTAATGATGCTGGTTCTGGGCCAGTATTAATGATGCTGGTTATGGGCCAGTGTTAATGATGCTGGTTCTGGGCCAGTGTTAATGATGTTCATTCTGGGCCAGAGTTAATGATGTTCATTCTGGGCCAGAGTTAATGATGCTGGTTCTGGGCCAGTGTTAATGATGCTGGTTCTGGGCCAATGTTAATGATGCTGGTTCTGGGCCAATATTAATGATGCTCATTCTGGGCCAGTGTTAATGATGCTGGTTCTGGACTAGTATTCATGATACTGGTTCTGGGCTAGTATTCATGGTACTGGTTCTGAACTAGTATTCATGATACTGGTTCTGGACTAGTATTAACGATACTGGTTCTGGACTAGTATTCACAATACTGGTTCTGTACTAGTATTCATGATACTGGTTCTGGATTAGTGTTCATGATACTGGTTCTGGGTTGGTATTCATGATACTGATTCTGGCTTGGTATTCATGATACTGGTTCTGGGCTAGTGTTACTGATACTGTCCAAGAAGACATGCTCAGATCAAGATAATTATGACAAATTAGTGATCACTGTCCAGGATAATGATAGCAGACATGCAGTAATAATAATATTTACCATCCAGGTCTGTGATGACCATCTCAGGCAAGTGTCCCCCTCAAGGCCTTTATTATGTTATGGTAATCAACTAATGTATACAGGTATTGACTCCCAGCCCTTGTTGTGCTGAAGACCTGTGCTAATGTGTTAGCTAGCATAATGTGATGCTGTGATTGTATTTTATTGAACAAGATATTATGGATAGTACCAGGCAAGGTACTACCCATAATATCTTGTTCAATATTTTGCCCTGCTGGAGAGTAGAGGATGCAGAGTCAATGTGTTTTGCATTAGTTGGTGTCATAAATTTGTTGCAGCTAGTCTAGTGGAATGGGTTATTGTGCCATGAGAGATTTTAGCTGCCTTGGTGCATGATATTATGTAATGATCATCCTATGGTAGAAGAGTCATACTCCTGTCAGTGTTACTATTAACTCTCCTTTGGTATTCTCTAAATAATTAATTTTACATTATAATTGCGGAGTTCTTAGCTGACCTAAAAATAAAATATATTACACGTGGGAGTTAAAAAAGTGAGAAAACTTACACAGTACAACCTCGATAATCCAAAACACTCAGGGTCAAGCACTGTCTCAGTTGTGGACTTTTTCAGATTTTTAAATACTGTATAATTGTAATAAACACTCATGCACTCCCAAAAGTTTAGACCTGTGTTGTGGTTCTTGAGTCAGAGTTCCACAGGCATGATGCATGCATTCTTCCATCATGGCAACTCCAAATCATCATGCAAGTGCTCATATATTTAAGATATTTCCATAAAGAAACAAAATGGTATTTTGCCTCCAAGTAAAGTTCCATAAATACATAATAAAAACAATTATGTATAAATGGCAAGATGTTGCAACTCATTGCATTTGTGTGACAATGCTTAAAGAATATTTTATAGCAATGATGACATAGCTATCATCATTGCTGCAAACACACTTGGTGCTAATATTGCTTTTTCCCAAAGTTACTTTTTTTTTTTTCAACGAACTGGCCGCATCCCACCAAGGCAGGGTGACCCAAAAAGGAAAATGAAAGTTTCTCTTTTTTTAAATTCAGTAATGTATACAGGAGAAGGGAAACTTTAGACTTATTTTACAGTATTTTAATGCAGCCTTAAAAAAATTGATAAATAATACATTTGTTCCTTGTATAGATTTTTACCTTTGAACTGTTTTTACTCAAGTATGTCCCAACTTTGAGTATAAGTTGGCCTCTGACATTTTTTAAAAAGATCTTACTTTTTTATATACATCTTGTATTGTATAAGTCTACCTTAGTCTTTGACTGGTAAGTCCATTGAAGTTACCGGCTAAGATCTGTTATTCTACCTTAGCTCTATCCAAGGTATATTATCAACTCTCCTGGAATGCAACTTGCAACATTCCACTAACATTTAGGAGCCTTACTGCTAAGTGAAAAGAAGTAGTAGGTGTAGGGAAGCACAATGTTTCAGTTAACTGTGGATCAGGTAATTAGTGTTGGTATTGTGCTGTTGTGTGCAGAAACAGAAAGAGTTTGTCATACAGTCTAATGTTTTCTCTTCATCTTTGCCTAACGCTTAAATACCTGTACATAGAAGAAAAGTAAAAAAGAGAAGATACAGTGTCTGATAGAGCTGGCAGTGTCTTGGATTCATTGTATCAAGGTCAGGTGTACAGCACTTATTGCTCCATATAATTGAAACACCCTGCCTCAGTGGGAGACAACCAGCATGTTAAAAAAAAAATTGAAACAAGAATGGAAGAGCACTGCAGTAAGCCTACTGGCCCATACTAGGCAGGTCTGACTCACATCCAACTATTTACACTCATTTCACATGTATAAAAAATGATAGAAGAAAGAGCACTGTATGAGGCCTTTTAGTCCATGCTAGGAGACCACACACTCACCCATGTATTTGTCCAACTTATTATTAGGATTGTTCCTGGTAGCATTAGAAGTATCGGATTACATTTTAATGGGATGGAATAGCTTAAGCTAATTATTTCACCTATCCCTCAAGTTGTGGTCACATGTGCATTACTGTAATGGCCAGCCATCTCAGTACTGAAGATGTTCACTCATATAGCTATAACATCCTGAGTTATACTGCGTAACAAATATAAAAATAAAGGAATTATAAATAAAGAGGTGAATGTGAGTTCCATCTACCTAGCATGGGCTAGAAGGCCTACTGTAGTTCTCTTATTATTTCACATTCTTACATAGGAATTAGAATGCTGGTTGAGCAAGTTATAGATGAGTACTATGTATAAGTGTGAGAAGAACCTGTCTAGTAAAACCAGTAGTCCTACCTCATTGTTCTTTGATTCTTATGTTGTTCAGTAAAGAAATTTATTAATTTTCAGACTTTCGAAAATATTACCCATGAATAAGTTGACCCTAAAAAGTTTGCAATGAAAAAAATGGCTTAGACCTATATTCTCTGTATATTATAATAATAATAATAATAAATTTGTTTTGACAGGATATGTGGTTGTACAAGGGAATATAATAGTTGAGTTTACATGCCAAAAGCCACTTGTATGCAGAGCATTTCGAGCAGACTTAAAATTAACTTAAGATTAATAAGGCTATAGCATTAAATGGTCATTAGATGAGTTACAGTGAGTACAAGAGAACTGAGTATTAATAGGTAATGCTATATGGCATTAATAAGTCTAGTAGAGAATAAATACAGTTTTGAATTATTTTATAAAAATTACAGTATTACAATAGAACAATTTAAACAATATACAATATGAAGTATTATAATTTAGTATTCCAAACAGTGAAATTTGAACATCCTAATATTGAAGTAACTAGTACATGGTTGAGTTTTCTTCAGCAATCTTTCATTCATTTAAAGTTTTTAAATACATTAATCATATAAAATTATAAAAAGTTAAATAAAAAATTTGGTTGAAATCTGTTTTTGGCAAGAATGAAAAAGAAGAAAATTAATTTTTAAAATTTTATTGATTATGTTTATATCTTAGGTAGCAAATGGCACAACAGAGTTTAAGTGGTAGACTTGTTCAGCTGAAGAGTCAAACGAGTCACTAATATTCTGCTATATGAGGACTGGACAAGACATAAAAAACACATGCATTACAATAGATTGAAACTATCTATGAAAACAAAAAGGCAAATGTATCAAAGCATAGTCATATCAGTACTGATATATAGAGAGGTTGGAGGGAAGTGGTAAACAAGGTTTTGAGTGCTAGGGACTTGATATCCATCAGGCTTGTGTGAGAATGTTAGACATGAGTGGGGGAAAGGATTTTTATGACTTGACGTGCTATTGGAGTGTGGGCAAAGTAACATTTATAACTGGACCTGAATCCTGCACTCTGAAGGAGGGGTGGTGATGTTGCAGTTTGATAGGTCATCTAAACTGTGATGTCAGCATGCTCTGGCAAGATAGTAATTGAGTAAGTGACAGTGAAAGTATTTTCTTTTATTCAAGTCACCCAACCCCAGTGGGAGATAGCCAGTATGTTAAAAAAAAAAAATGAGCATTATGATACGGGTTAAACTACCAGTCACATGTACTGAGGTCTACTGATCTAATAGCAAGCAGTGTTCCATACCTAACAATAAAATATTTAAGCTTCTTAGCACAGAATTTTCAGCAACTTTTTCACATTGCTAATGTTATATTTTCATTGAAATGTTAGTATGTGCCAAAAAAATCTGCACAATTGTCACACTAACTGCAGTAGGCCCAGTACCCTATGCCAGGCAGGTCCCTCTTAACCCAACTCTCATCTTACTCATGTATTTGTCCAACTTTTTAAAGCAACCAATTCTGTTAGCTTCAGTAATTTTTTTAAAGTTTGTTACAAATGTCCACAACTTTATATCCTTTCTGAATCTAAATTTAACTTTAAAATGCATCTCCTATTCTTTGGTTACATATATTCAATATTCAGTACTCTATTTCTTCCTTATTTATACCTCTTTTCCACTTGTATACTTAAATCATGTTTTCCCTTATACTGTATCTCTAAGAGAGTATAGATTCCTTATACAGTGGATTAATCATTCTTTATATATTCTCCATCATATTTTTATTTTATTATTATTTTTTTTTCAACAAGTCGGATGTCTCCCACTGAGGCAGGGTTACCCAAAAAGAAAGAAAATCCCCAAAAAGAAAATACTTTCATCATTCGACACTTTCACCTCACTCACACATAATCACTGTTTTTGCAGAGGTACCCAGGATACAACAGTTTAGAAGTCTATGCGTATAAAATTGCACACTGAGGGCCCGAGTTCAATTCCCGGCGGGTGGAAACATTTCGACACGTTTCCTTACACCTGTTGCCCTGTTCACCTAGCAGCAAATAGGTACCTGGGTGTTAGGCGACTGGTGTGGGTTGCATCCTGGGGGACAAGATTAAGGACTCCAATGGAAATAAGTTAGACAGTCCTCGATGATGCACTGACTTTCTTGGGTTATCCTGGGTGGCTAACCCTCCGGGGTTAAAAATCCGAACAAAATCTTATCTCTCTCTTATCCACTCTGTAGTACTATGAAGCTCAGAACTCTGCTACATAATGCATACGACATCTCACTGATGTTGTGTATAGTTGTAGAATACCCTAGGACTGTTCCTTATACTTCTTAATGTAAATCCAAGCAATCTGTCAGCCTTATTACAAAGGCTTAGGCATTGTTTTCTTGGCTTTGGATTTCAGCTTACCATGACTCCAAAGTTCAATATGATTTAGTATACATGTCTAGGGTTATTTCCTTTTTCAAGCATTAGGACTTTGCACTTTCTACATCAAACTACATTTACCACCTTTCTGCCCAAGACAACATGTCTAAATCATCCAGATTTATTTGTTAGCCTATTTTTGTGCTGTCAGATAATTTACTCGTGTTTGTGTTTATTCCCTCATCAAAGTCAAAAATAGTTTATGAACAGTAAGAGGCTCAAAACTGATCTTTGTAGAATGCCACTAATGACTGGTCCCCTATCTGATTTTGCCTCATTAATACAAACTTCTTGCTGTCTATTTGTTATCTGTGCCCTATCCATGAGAGAATATTTCCCTTTACCATGTGCTGCCACTTTATCTAACAGTTTTCTGTGCGGGTCTGTCAAAAATTTTTTTGAAATCCAAGTAGACAACTTCATATTCTATATCATGGTCCACTGCCTCAAGTGCCTTACTGAATAGAGTCAGTAAACTTGGTAGGCATGAATCTGTGTTGAGATTTATTAATCAGTTATGCTCATCAAGGTGGCTTCTAATTATACCTGCAATTATAAATTCTAGTAATTTTCCCACTATTGATGCAAAACTAATTGGGGGTAATTTCATGGTAGGGATTTATCTCCCATTTTGTAGATAGGAATTCCATTAGCAATTTTCTATATATCAGTCATGATTCTAGTTTACAGTTACAATAAGCTGTCAGTTAACACATGATCTGTTAACACTTTTTTACATTAACACAGTTGCAAAATTGCAGTATATTTTCTGTGAACGTCCCATATTAATCATTTTGCATGGTGGAGTACATGCAGGGCAATATGTGGCACAGTTCAGATTCTTTCCCCTATCTTGCAGTGAGCTTATGGGTGAGTCAGTTGTGCTATGTTTATACATGTCCACTACCAAACTTGGCCTGTGTTAGTGAATTGATATTTGATCCTTGCATCATCCTGTCTCATCTCCAGATATTAAACATGGCACCCATGAGGAATGCAAGTGATCCTAGAAGTGCAAAGAAGAAGCATAAGTATGAAAGTCTTGGTATTATGAAGAAAATTGAGATCCTAGACAACTAGGAACCCCTTGCCCCCCAATCCCAGCCTCCTAACAAAAATGTGGATGTGGCATCTTTGACTGACAGGTTATGTACCCTTACACCCATACCTTACCCATGCCCTCACCCACACCACTCCTCACACACCATAACCCCCTTTCCCCCTACAGTCACATGCCCACAGCATCCCTCACACACCATAACCCCTTCCCACAGTCACATGCCCACACCACCTATCCTGGCTTCACCCACACCACTGACTCATGCTGAGCCACCTGCTGTCATTCACCCACACCTGTTCTCAATCACACCACCCTCCACCCAAATCAGTCTCTCTCACCTCCTGCTCTCCATCCACTTACTGTGCTGT